CGGACACCATTGGCGGCAATTTCATTATCAGAAAAGGCAATGCCTAACAGAATACGCTGAAAGCATAGATCCAACTTCGGGCCTGCTGCCAGCGTCTTGCCGGAGCACTCCATGTTAAAATTAAGGCACTCCTGCAGGTCGCCAATGCGGGCAAAGTGTTCACACTTGGCGAGGAGACTCTCGCGGACCTCCACATCGCCAAGATTCTCCTGCGCATCCTTCAGGCGCGCGTCCAACTCTTCCAGCTTCTTTGCATTGACAGCATCCATTTCTTGCATTTTCGACTCTTCGAGCGACCAGGCAAAAGATTCACAGATGAAGCGGAGATAGGGCGCCATGTTGTGGTCATATGCCTCTTTTAGTATTTTTGCCTTTGCCTCCTCTCGCTTGGACTCATCCACGTACTGTGAAGCGTATGTGTGGCGCAAGTGCAGCAAAGAAATAAGTGGACTCATAGGAACGGGCTCCTCAATCTGCAACTCTTCTTCCTCCTCATTGTCCCTGAATGTCGTTCCTTTCGTTTGCGGTGGCATTTCTCTTGTTGTTGTTGCAGTCGCCCTGTCTTTTATTTTTCTTTTCTCTTCCTCCTTTCGGTGTTCTCTCTCCTTTGCTGCCGTTCTTCCAGGAACAAAAACACTTCTTGTTGTTGGCGGTCCGTACAAGCGGGTTAGTTAAAAGTTATAATTGTGATCTGCCGCGTGTACAAAAAAAAAAGAAAAGGAAAAAGAGGGAGATGATGCTGCCCGGGTGCAGTGGACGCGTGTATCAACGCCAACACACGGCAGGGTGGCGAAGGCGGTGACAATTAGCGGAGGGCTCCGGGCCTGCGCAGCGCATGAATGACACACGATATGAAAGAGACCGACAGAGGAAATATTTAAGAAGAAAAAAACAAAAGAAAAAGAGAGGGAAAATAAACAAAAAAAAGAAAGCCATGGAGCGCAAAATGTACCCCAAAGTGCAAGTCACTCCAGGCGCGATACAAATAGGAGCGGATAAGGGATCCTTTTTAATTTACTCCCATCCCTCCCTCCTTTTCTCCTTTATTTGTGTGCTACTATCCTTCAAAAAGACAAAAAAAAATATGTCGTGTGAGAAGAGGGAAACCCGTGAGACTTCCCCCTCTCCCCAACGGTGTCGCACTCCTGTCGCTTCACTCCTCGCCTCCGCCGTCAGTAGTACCTGCAGTTCTTCAGTATGCTGTCTGTCTGCGCGTCCAGGTGAGCCCATGAGTCGGCGAGCCCCTGCACTTCATCCGCGTCACCAGAAAAGTCGTCTTCATTGTCATGAATTTCGTAAAAATCGCTGCTGTCATCAACGCTGGTGGTGGCGGTGCCGCGGCCCGCTCCGCAACGCCGGGAGAGATTGCCCCAAGAATACTCCGGGGACCCAAGCGCGGAAAGGCTCCGTGCGTACCGCTCGACGCTGCTCCGGGAAGGCCTCGGAGCACTCGCCAACGTTACGGCTGAAAGCGGCTCTCGTACGCCACCGATGAACGCCGCGTCGCGAAGGGCCGCCTGAGAACGCAGAAGCCCCAACTCTGTGTAAATCCTTGCCTCGGCGTTTGCCACAAGGGCATCTTGGTCGACAATCCTTGAGTGCACGGAACTACCACCGATAGACGATACATCGAAGCTGCCATCCAACTTCGGTTGAAACCTGCACTCGGCCAACGCCTTCTCCTCCAAAGCCAGACGAGCGCTTTGCACACGCTGATTGCGCCGCTGAACCCACTCCATTGAACGGGCCAACACACGCTGGAAGCACGCATCCAACGACTTTGTGTTTGGTGAATAGGGGGAAGGACTTTCCGATGCTTGAGATGTGCGTTTCGGCAAGGGTCGCTCATATACAGGTGTCCAAATTTTTTTAGACACTATCTTTCTTGTGCGTGCACTGATTTTTGGGTGAAATGACTCCTCTGGTGTGCTCTCATCCTCAGCATGGCTTTGCCGCTTCTTCTCCTGGCCAAGCAGATCGGCCACCACCTCGTCGGGCCCTCGCTGACGTTGTTGTTTCCCCTCACGTCTCTCGCGCTCATCACGAAAATACCGTGCGAGCACGTACTCCTGGTGCTGCTGCCGCAGTTTCTTGATGAGTAACCGCTGTTCTTCTCCGTTGAGTTCATTGAAGCTGACGCGGACACCGTCCTTCACCACCGTTGGCAGTGCATTTGGTTCAAAGAGGGGCTGGCCTGTCTTCTTCTCGTATTTCTGCTCATTCGCCAGTTTGGCGTAGTGAATACGCAACTTCTCAAGTTTTTCCTCTCGACGCATCTTGTCGCTCTCAACACGCTGTAGGTATGAATTGAGCAGACTGCGCCTGCTTTGATCACTCTTTTCACTCATCCCTGCTGTGTCCGTTGTCTCGTCCTCACCCATGTGTTGCAGCAAAGCAATTTTCTCATCAACCGATGCACACGTCACCGGGTGAAAAAAGGGCTTCTCTAATATATCCGACTCGTGCTGTTCAGTTGTATTCGTCAACACGGCTTGGGCTGCACCTGGAGTCAAGTGATCCCCGGCAGCTGCAGCAATGAAGGAGAAGGAAGACGGGGCGGCGATGGCACGATTGGGACTCTTGGGCTCCCACAATTTGGGCCATATCCTGCCTTTCTTTTTGAACTCCTCAAGCAATTGTCGGCTGCGTTCTCCCATTTTCCATTGTATCATCCACTCATCCTCTCCACGGTTGATGCTGTCCTGCGCAGCCTTCTTCTGCAGGCGCAAAGCCGCCGTATGTTTCCACTCCAGGCACCTCTCCATAAAGGTAGTGAGGCCCTTGGGGGCTATTTCCTTCGCGGAATCCGATATCGTTGGTTTGAAGGTGCATTCCCTTAACTCCTTTTCCTCCAGCTGCGTTTTCTGCTCCTCCCGCCATTTGGCGCTATTTTTTCGTTGCTGCATCCCCTCCTCGTACAGCAGGTTGCCGCGCGCGGGGGAAGGGGCCGGTTCGCCAAGGAGCTCAAACAAGTAAAGGAGGCTGTTCACAGACTTCAATGGTGTATCCGCTATGGCCGCGTAGTACAATAGAGTCACCGCCAGCGGAAGGTCCAACTGCTCAATGGGATAGTCGGGGAATACGGTCACCTCCTCAGATATTTTCACGCGTTTGCTGGCAGAGTTCTGTTTTCTCCATGCGGAAGAGAAAGCTGTGCGCCCCAGATCTTCCAGCAGCTCCGCTGTGGTGTGGTTGTTGTCAAGGAGGAGGCGGTAAACGTCGCGGAGCATCGTTTGGTCGTCAACGCCTACCAATTGCGGGGAGATATCGTCCTGCATTTCTTTCAGCTCCATCTCGCACTCACTCGCAGCGCCGCAAGGGAGGGAAATCGAGAATTTTGGAGGTGAAAGAGCCAAAGAGGAGAAGAAAAGGAAAAAAAAAAGGATGCCAACAGACAAAAATTCTCCCGGCGTTAAGAAGCCAGAAAAAAAAAAAGAAAAGAGGGATGAACCAGCCTCTGCGAGAAAAAAGTTTCAAATTTAACCGCGTGCGTTTTACGTCGCGCCATGCTCAAGTTCGCTCCGAAAAAGCGACTTCCTCTTCGGCGCGGTGTCAGCGAGGGTGGCGACAGCGGAAAGAGTGGGAGACGGTGCGACCGTCGCCTGGCGCTCCACGACATCTCCCACGACGCTATGGCCGGAGGGTCGCTCCAGCACACCGCCTGCAGGAGGCAACTTCACAGCGGTAGCCGCACCCTCCGGTGGGACGACATCCAAAACATCATGGAATCTGACACGTCGCCGTGAAGAAGCCACGGCGTCCACCGTATTGACATCGCCCGCGGATGCCTCCTTCACCACGACGTCTGCAGCACGGCCAATGTCCCCTGGTGTGTCAAAGACAGGGGAAGAATTCGTCACAATTTGTGAGAAATGTGGCGGCTGCGGCGCTTCCTCCCGTTCCTGTGAAGCCCCTACTGCCGCGGAGGGTTGTGCCTCTCGTCCCCGTCCCTTCCGCAACTCCTCACGCACTCGCTTCTCCTTCTTGGCAATAATTCTCTCTGTCATGATGCGCTCGACCAGCTCGTCATCCTCAATTCGTTCCCCCAACTCCCGCTCAATCTCCAGCAGCTCCTCCTCGGTCAGTTGGTCCAACTCATCGATCACCGCCAAGTCCCCATCTCTCAGTTCCGGCAGCCACGGTGTCTCCGTTGCCCCGTCGCCGCTCCCCTCCGCCCCTCGGGGTCCCGCAGAAACAACGGCCGTTGGCGTCAAGCCCCCACCCCCTCCCCTCCAGCCATGAAGGGCATCCTCCTTTGATGCCTCCACCTCCAACATCGCCTGCTCCGCGTTGGGGACCTCCGCGAGAAACAAACTCTGTCGCTGCATCAGCGCACTCGCCTCCGCCACAAGAGCACATTCCTCACGGCAAAGAAAGTCGATACGGCGACCAGCAATTTCACGCGCCTGTTTTGCACTGCGCTCAGCAAACCAGCCGTCACCGAGAAGGACCAGAATGTTGTTTGTGTAATCCATCGTCGCCTCAAAATACGCCATCCCACCGGCAACAGGCGCCAAAACAGGTACGCGGCACCTATCCGTAAGGTTTTGCAAGACTTCTCGCAATTTCTCGTACTCCTGCAGTTTCCGCCTGGTTTCTTCCAGTTGTTGTTGGTTTCTTTTTGTGAGGTAGTGGAAGAGCTCCGCCCCAGTTAGCGTCATCTCCTCCCCCGTTTCCTCTTCGTCGATCATCGGCTGATGATTGCTGAACTGCCACAACAACAAAAAAAAAAAAAAGAATGAAAATGAAACAAACAGTGGTGGATAAAAAAAAAAAAAAAAAAGCAGACGGCTAATCAAGAAAACCACCAATCAAGGTATACCAAACACTAATATGTATGCATATATATATACATGGAAAGAGAGAAAGTAATAATAATAAAATAATATCATCCACTGGCCAGTCGTATTGGATCATGCACACTGTAAAAGGGAAATCCAGTTGTTGCTTTTGTTGTTGTTTAAGGTCTTCTCTTCCTACTTTCGTTCCTTTCTCATCATCATCATCATCTTTTGTTTGTTTGTTTGTTTTTCCGTTTGTTCGTGTGTTTCCGCCTTTCTTCCATCTTCGCTACGACCCGGCTGTGGACGCAGCTATAAGTGTCTCCATTCGCAGCTTCTCTGCGACACGGTTGTAATCATCCTGAAGGTCATCGTCGTACGGTGTAATGCGCACCGCCTGTTCGAGCAGCTGCAAGGCCTTTCGGTAATCCTTCAGACCGCAGTGTGCCGCCGCCCCCCGTACACATGCCTTCAAGAGCGCATACACATGTCCGCTGCGCTCGCCCACCTTTCGCGCCGCGGCTTTCCGCTGTCGCACCATCTCATCCGCATGTTCGCCCCCTGCGGAGCCAACATCATCATCATCGTCGCTATCCAACAGGTTCGTGGAAAGAGCCCCAGCACAACTCAGGGCGTCTGCAACCTCCTGACAGAAGCTTACAACACGCGAGGTCTCCTCTAACGCCTCGCGAAACAATCCTTGTTGCAGCAAAACAGCGCTCAAGTTGTTGCGCGCCTTCACATCATATGGATTCGCCTCCAGCACATCGCGGTACACCGCCGCAGATTCCGCGTACCTTCCATTATAATACAAAGTGGATGCTTCTCGCAACTTTTCCTCTAGTGGATCCTTCGTCTCCAAGAGGCCGCGCTCCTTCATATAGCTTTCCACAAGCTGATAATCCGCCAACACGTCCCCGTCATCCTCCGGATTACAGTACGCCGATGCGATGCGTAAATCCTCAACGCCCTTCTCGCAACAGTGCCCCCAGCAATATGCTGCTCCACGCCGGGCGTGAAGCTTCATCATAAGATAGCGGTACCGCTCCTGCGTCAATTCGCTTGCCGGAGTATTTGACAGCATAGTCAAGGCCAGCGTGCAGTCCTCAATGGCCCGTTTGTATTCAAACAAATGAATAAAGCAAGCGGCACGGTTTGAAACGCAAGTTAAAAAAGCACCATCGCGTTTGATTGACTCCGTGTAAGCGTCAGCTGCTGCCTGCCATTCCTGGTGCTGATAGTGCTTATCGGCACGTTCTTTCCAGAACATGGGACTGTCCTCTATGCGTGTTGGTTTGTACCGACTTCGACGATAGTAATCTTCCTCCCCTCGAGAACGTGTAGGCATTGTAGCAAGTTTTGGCGTGAATTCTACAGGGACAACAACTGTACTGTGGTGCCGCACAGACGGAGCGGCGGTTTCGTTTGCCTCCGCCGCCTGCGGCAGCGTGATGTCAGCGGGGGACTGTGGGACGGCTGCAGCTGCTGGAAACTGCTGTCCGCCCTGTAGCTTCTGACGCTGTTTTTTCTGCTCGTCCTCCCAGACGTAGAGGTCCGCCTCGGCCGTCTCCCTCTCTTCCCTCACACGGCCCTCGATCAGTCGCCGCTGCGCCTTCTCCACCTCCCACTGCTCCTCCGTCATGCGCCGCCTCTCCTCCTCCCTCTTCCCTACCCGCTCCTGCAGCCGACGGTTGTAGTCATCCTCCGCCCGCTTCACGGCAGCGGAGCGTCGCTCGCGAATGGCAGCCGCGTCGTCCTTGTCCGCATGGATGCAGAGATCCGGCCAAATTCCGGGCTCCTGCTTACGGAGACGGAGACGCAGACTCGTGCGATCCTCTGGGTCCATGTAGTACGTGGATCGCGCCGCGTCGACGGGGCGCAGGAGGTCCAGCATGAGGAGATACGTGGGCGCCGCGTTAACCTTCACCAAGACATCCGACAGGAACACGTCGATCGCCTCCTTCTTGAACCCTTTGATGCTGACGCGCAGCAGCACCTCCTCCTCCGTCTGCTCCCACTCGTACGCCGGCCTCACAGGCATCAACGGACAGAACGGAGCTAAAAATCATCCCAGCAGCGCAGCAACCAACCAACCAAAAAAAAAAAAAAAAAAAGAGAGTCAGCGAAAACAACAACGCACGTCCGACATGATATGAGAAACGAAGCCGTAAACACACAAAAAACTGGCAAATAAGAAATAAAAAAAGAGGGAAAAAATCAACATAGGTAAACACGCACACACACCAAAAACGTAAACGTCATACTCGCCAAAAATATTTCGCGGGGGCAAAGGGAGAGCCCGCCAGGTACACACAGTGGCGCATGCACTTCTCCTCGAGGCAAAAGAAGGTCAAAAATGAAACACCATAAAAAAAAAAAAACACACACACACACACATGCATTTTCCCAGCCTCGTCTCCACCGCAAAATGTAAGAATAACTACAAGCAGGGAGGGCCGGCACACTCATAACTGAAAAACAACTTTCACATACTTTTCCTTCGTCCTCTCTCTACCTCTCCATCTCTATCTCTCTGTTCCTCACTGGGGAAATAATACGCAGCCCCCAACTCATTTACTTCTTCACTTTTGTATTCCTTATTTTTTTTTCTTTTCTGATGGTCGGTTTCCCGCCCCCTTCTCCTTCCCTAGCAATTTGTCTGCCTCCGGCGATGACGGGGCTGAAGCCGACAACACCGACGGGAATGGGCGAGCGACACGCACAAACCACATAAAAAGGAGGAAGCACCTTCCTGAACGCAAAAAAGACGCATCCCGCCCTCTTCCACCCGTAAAGAAATTCCCCGGCGATCAGACACGCACGCACGCAACATAGGCACTGAAAAAAAAAAAACAGTGAAAAATAAATAAAAGAAGAGGAGACAGACAGAAAGAAAGAAAGAGATTCATCCCGACCAACAAAAACAAAAACAAGAAATGCAACTACCGCATGCCAACAATAAATGAATGCATCATGCGGACGTACGCTTCAAATAAAAAGAAGAATATGGTGTTGCCGTCAAACTTTTTTGTCTTCTTCACTGCAAGCTACTTTTCGTCTTTAATACGTTTTACGGATTCCGTCGTGGACGACAGTAGACGTTCCAGGCCTGGGCGAGCCATCCGAGAAAGGGAACTGACCCCGTCCTGGAAATTCTCACAGAACATATACGGAACATTCCGGATGACGTTCAGCCACCCCGACGCCGTTATCGTCCTCACCGTATACCACTCCTCAGGAAGCACTACATAGAAGGGTGGTAATTTGTCCTCGAGGACACCGTCGTCATTTGGATACTTCGAAAGCAAAATTGAGGAGGGGGTTTCTGGGGCACGGCTCTCTCGCTCGCAACGACCCCTTGGAACAGCAAAGGAGGTGCTCACGCATTTCTGATATTCACAGCAGATCTCATAGCAGTCTTGGCACAAGCGTAACCACTGAGAGGCCACTTGCCGGTTGGCGTTTTTGTCAGGGAGCATCCCGGCGTAAGAAGAGCAACGCTGACAAAAAATGAGGCCACAGCGACGGCAGTGATGCCGCATAACGAGTAAATTAAAGGGACGTCGGCACTTGTGGCATGCCTGAGCGGACTCGTTGCGCTGCCACGTCTGCATGAGGTAAGGGTTCTCCACGTACTCGCCCATCGCCCTACGATGTAAGGTCTTCAGGGACTCCATCACCCGAACCGCGTCCCGCAAGGCCTCCGTCTGTCGTTCCAAAAGCAACTGTAACCTGCGTTCTCGCTCTGTCCTCCATTCCTGAGCTACACCCAATGCGGCGTCAACAATGTTGCGCTCAACGTCTTTTGCCACACGATTCGCAAGTAACATCATACGAACCTTATCGCGAATGTAGTCACTCTGTTCCTTCTCATAGGAAGGCGTGGCGCATCCGAGTGAATCCGATGAAAAAACAGTTTTGGGCGCAGCGGCATCCCTACTGTACATGTTTGGTTTATCAAAACTGGCGGCAGCCTTTTTTTCCATTTCCTGGCCTTCCGGTCCCATGGCACATATCTCGCGTCGTGTGCTTAACGGCCAGGCCTCTTCGTCGTAACTCACCTCCAACAGGTTCCCTCCAAAAAACATGCTTTTACCGTCACTCCTATTAGGGCTCATTGGGATGTCAGCATTGTCACTATTCCTCCCATTGTCCCCATCATGGGTTTCTGAATCCCGTTTCACTACTGTTTCACCCACAGGTGCCGGGTCTACATGACGCGTACGCAGTACCACAAACCCATCATTTCGCAATGCATCAAATTCATCTGCAAGTTGCCGACGCTCCTCCTCCGACAGCCACTGCAGCGCCGCATCCACCTCTTCCTCCGTCAAACCAGGGAGAGGCCTCTTACCAAACCAGTACGTGCCTCCCTTCGCATCCACCCCAGTTGGCATCTTTGCTCCGCCGGCGATTCCCTTTTTATCACCAGAAAGACGTTCGTGTACCCTTTCCAATAACTCGCTCACCCCCATCTCCTCATCTCTGGTCTCTCCCTCAAATAGAGCCTGCTTTCTCCGCTCCATCCACTCAATTGAGCCCTCACGCTGGTCATCACCCATCGCCCGTAAGAACGCGGTGGCGGCCCCGATGAGCCCATCCATCCCCTCAATGCTACTGGTGCTCATAAGGCACCTTTGGTACAAGTTTCCTGCCGCGCGTTTGTTCACACGTCTATTCTCAAAGATATCGGCTGCCACGCCGAAGCAGTAGTATATATGATTGCACTGCGTATCTTTCCCCTTACTCCGGTTTGCTTTTCTTTTGGTGGTGTTGACTCTCGCCGCTCGGTGAGAAAGCAAAATTGAAGGCAAAGAAAGAAGAAAAAAAAAAGCTCACATATTGAATATTTCATTTGTGTTTTATTTTTGTAGTTGTTAAAATTCAAAAAAAGAAAAGAAAAGAAAAAAAGTACAGATAAAAACAAAGCAACACAACCAAGAAAAAAAAATATTTTTCTTCTTGAGCAAACACGGCAGAAGTAACCGCCAAATCATTTCTCTCTCCGTGACTCCTAAGAAACGACTGTTTCTCTGCTGCCGTCACGATCCCCAGGAAAACAGGTTCATAACACGCATACAGCAGTACATCGTGGGGAACACAAGAAGAAGCCCATCAATGCGATCAAGTACGCCACCATGTCCTGGCATCAAGTATCCCGAGTCTTTTATCCGTGCTGTCCGCTTCAGCAGGGACTGCAGGAGGTCACCTACAACCCCCATCACACCTAACAACACACCGGCAGTAAAATTGAGAAAAAACGGTCCCCAACCCCGTTCCAGAACCCCTCCACCAGATGCAAAGTTTACACTCCAAAGAAATATAAAGGCGCCCGCAAGAACCCCCAAAACTGCTCCCTCAATGGACTTTTTAGGACTAATGGATTGGCACAACGGATGCGTCATGCCCTTCATTGATCTCCCCACCAGCAGCGCCACAATGTCAAGAGTGAAGTTGCCCACAAGCGAAGCCAAGATCCACGGCCTCCCCAAACCTTCAATGTCGTACACAAGTATCGGGTAAGTTACTCCCGTAATCCAAACAAAACCAAAGTATTCCAGGCAGAAATTAATAAATAACTCGGCTGGTCCCTTCTCAGCAACCATGCGTAGCTCCTCCCGAAGAAACAGCAAGAGCATTTCGCTTCTTGACTTCTCCAAGGATAGAGAAACTTGCCTGGTAGGCGCAGATTGAGCCATCACATTATCCGCTGTTTGTCTCGCAACGGATACTCCCTTTTCCGGGTCGTTTTGGCCAAATAACGTGAGAAGCGTGCAAACAAGGAAGTAAAGAGTCAAGAAAAGCAAAAAAACATCCACTCCTATACAAGCGGCAACAATAACAAGCGATGAAAATGTTGCCTTGACGATTATTACGGCGCTGTGCGAAAAAACTGGTGCGGCATACTCCTTTGGAAGAGCCTCATGCTTGGAGTCGTCCCCTCCGCGTTCAGAATCTAAAAGAAGTGCCACTTTGATATGCCGTCTTATTCCTGACCACTCCAACATCCCAAAAAAGAAGAAAAACCAAATAAGCAGCGCACATGTGTATTTGTTGTGCGCCGCAAGAAGCACTGCCGTGGGTCCAACCAGAGCAATAGTGAGACTCCGAACAAAAAGATTCGTATCACCGCTCATGGTGTGGATGTTTGTCGAAACAATTTTTACTTTGTCCGTCGTCATGATTAAAATCCAGTGCAAGACAGTTTAGTTTTCTCCTCTCCCTTTCTATCAGCCAACCCTTTTCAAAGAATATATATATTTATACACATATACATATATACCAAGCTCTCTCCCTCTTCCTCACCCTCTCTCTCTCTCTCTTTCTCTCTCTGTTGCGGCTGAGGCAATTCTAAAAGGAAAAGTGGCGTGGAGGGAATGGTGGGGAAAAATAAAAAAAGGAAAGACACATGAAGAAATATCGCAATAAGCAGAAAAGCAAATACAGGGAGGGAAAACGAATAACCTCATTGTAGCATGCATCATTTCTCTAAAAAGGGTTTCTGCTTCTCTGGTGCGAAAATTCGGGTCCATGTGGCTTTTTTAGCTATCTCCGTCGGTGCCGTCAGCGAGAGAGCAGTACGGACAGTTCTTCACCGCCTCGTCCTCCCACGGGTGCCGCACCATCACCGTCATGCAAGAGGGACAAAGCCATGCCAAATAACTGGTGTTAGATTCGTCAGCGTTAAACATGGAGCTCGGCCCCTGTGGCAAATTGACAGGCCGCACTATATACCGCTCCACCAGGCGTTCTTGCGCCTGACGATCTGTAACATTTTCATCTTGCGGCAGTCTCTCGGCTACATCCCCGTCCAGCATGTAACCCACGTGAGAAAGGGCAAAATGAGAAGCACATAAGCCTCCAGTAGAGCGCGTCAGGGCCTGAAGTCGACTTCCCACAACGCTACAGAGTGTCGCAGGACCAAACGCGTGTACGGTGGCATGCAGTCTTGTCAACAGTAATGCAGCTGCGGAAAAAGAGCACTCCGAAGCAAATGACAACGCAGGGGCGTCATACACATCGCTAAATACCATCAAGTATCCCCTCGCCGAAGGAGCAGTGGAGAAACCAATGGAAGCAGCTTCACTCGGTGCATTCTCCACGACACGTGCACGGAGGAAACCGCACGCAGTCAATAACGCGCCAGTGAGGCAACGCCACACATCCACATTTTCACTTCTCTCTTTTTTAGTGCTATCTACTGCGTCTTCACAGCGCAGAATGGCCTGCTGCAAGCAAAGAACCGAGCGACCACTAAAGCGCGCAGTGAGTCCAGTCTTTCGCAGAGCATCATTCTTCATTTGCTCTGCTGCTCCATTGTCTTCATCCTTAGCTTCCGCATCGTGTGGAACTTCGTTGACGCATGACGTGTACGCGTACCGCACCCCCTCTATCGGGTTGGCACGTAGAACGGCGACAGAAGGAATGAAGTCCGCCGAGCACGTCTGGAGGGAGTGAAACATAGCGGAGACGCCATACGCAGCTTGAGAAAGGAGCTCGGGACTGCAGTAGACACCGCTGGAGTGCAGGATGCAGACACAACATGACATCCTTCCGTCCTGTGCCGTGAGTCGGCCCTCGACTTTCCCTCCTTCTTCCCGCGGACAAACCAACGCAATGAAAGACAACAAACACAAAAAACCAAGAAAATATAAATAAATATAAGAAACGGCGACAGTACCAACATAAACACCCCGATTTCTACCACCACCAACAACAACAACAACGACAGCAACCAACATCATCATAATAATGACAGCACCGGGAAGAAGAATAGCGCAAGGTGCGGCACGGCAACGATGCCCCACACACGCACACACACACCCCACGGCGGCCAGCAGGATGGACCTTCTCATTCTACGCAGCAGGAGGAGGAGTCGACAGGGCACCCATTCGCTTCTGGAAACCCCCACACAAATTAAAAATTATTGGCTATTGAAAGGAGAAATTTCAAAAACAAAGCCTACCGAAGGTCATCAAGACGACCGACGAGTGCTCTCTTGGCGCGGAGAAGCATCTTTTCCTTCAGCTCATCCAACACACAGATGTTATCATAGTCCGCTATCGCCTCCTCCATCTTCTCCACGCTCTCAACCTCCATGGCCTCGATGACACCCTGCACAAGCATATGCTCGCGAGTGAGGTGGTCAAACTGCGTGTCCAGGTCCTGATACTCCTCAAACCGCTCACGCAGCGCGGCTAGATCCTCCATAAAGTTTTCCCTCGTAATCCCAGCGAGTTGCGTCAGAAGCGCCATAAAGAACAACCTTCGCGCCCCACCACGCATCACAGCGTCGTTCAGTGTTTCGCGAGCAAGTTGTTCATACAACCCATGTGCACCCTTATAGTCTCCCATTCTTGCCTTTGCTTCTGCTACTTTTTGTATCAACTCATCTGCTGACACCCGTGACCCCTGCATCCGATAGTATGTGGAAGCCTTCTCGAGCCACTTGATCTGAGCAGACCCCTCAGTGATCTCGCTCAGGCTTACGCATGTCTTCGCAGCTCGAATGTGCATTTGGTTCCTCTCGTAATACTCAGCAACCTGCGTGTACAACCTCGTTGCCGCATCCTTATTGTTGGCTTTTACATGGCATCTCGCGGCATCCTCAAGTTCTGCTGTGACATCTACCTCGTTCTTACTAGCCATTGACATCTCAGCAGCTCGCTCATATGCCTTGGCAGCCTTGGCGTAGTTGCTGCATGCCTTGTACTGCGTTGCCGCCTGAATAAACTTGCCGTGAGCCTTTTCGTATTTGTCGCCGCCGAAATATTTAGACAATGAAAACCCCTTGAGGGACTTCTCTGCCTCTTCCACGAGCTGGTCGGCCTTGCCCTCCATCCGCGCAATATATTGAGTCGCGATCGAAGCAGCAACAGTGTATGCCCGTCCCCTCTGTTCCTTCACTCCCTCCTTGAGTGTATATCCTCACCGTTCACTTTACCTTCTTGCCAAATGTGTTCTCCGCGTGCATCCACAGGAAGAAAAGAGGGTATGTAAAAAAAAAAAAAAAAAAAAAGTGTTAAGAGACCATTGCAAATAAATAACCTCCACACTGGGTGCACGCAGCTTGCTTTGCCCTCCATACATTCTCTCTCCCTCTCGCCCTATTCAGTATCACTGTCACTGACTTTGTCAGTCTTGGAACATCCAAATTTGGCATACATAGATAACACTGACGGCTGGCCTTCCCCGCTCTCCACTCGCATCGCAGGCAGGCACAAAAATGGGAAAAAAAAAAAATGAGGCAAAACCACAACAAAAAAAATATAAGAATGGGTGAAGTATCGGCAAAAGGCCATGAGAAAGGAAGACAAATGAAAACAACACCACACACACACACATACACATACACAAACAAACAAACACACACACACACGCGTACATGTATGGACAGGTGGGTAGAAGAAGAGACAATGAAAAAGACAGATACGCATGTGATATTTAATTATATATACAACATGGTGACACCCCTTCATACAGAAGAAAAAAAAAAGTCACCAGCATTACATCGGCATCACCTCCCTGTCCATCGCTCGGAAAAGCATGTTTTTGTTTTTGTTTTTTTGTTGTTTTATTATCGTTGCTACTGTTCTTTTTTTCTTTCTTTTTTTTTTTCTTTTTTTAAAAAGTCATGGCTTCGTCTCTCTCCCTCTCCCTCCCTCTCTCTATCCCTGTGCGTGTATATATTTGTATTTGTGTGTGTGTGTGCTTCACTGGTTGCTGTTTTCGTCTTCATGTTTTAATTCCGTTCGTCTTGCTTCGTGCCGCCCTCGATGTTCTCGTCTTCTCCCCTCCTTCTTTGCTCCGTGTTGTGTTCTTCTTCCCTATTTTCCCGTCCTCCCATCACGTCTCCTGCCCGCCTGCATGCTCGCACTGTGCTTCCTTCGTCCGGTCCTCTCGTCAGGTAAATTTCCCCGTGGCACCTCTTTCGAGAGCGCATCTCATCCGTGGTGTTATTGTCTCTTCCGTGGGGTGTTGGGTTGACCGGCAATCTGCTCCTTCAGCTCACGCCTCCTGCGATGCGCACGTTCCTCGCGTTCCCGCTTCGAAACGAGCCTTCGTTCCATCTGTCGCCGTACCTCCTCATGCGACACAACTCGATCGCCCTCCCCTTCCTCCAGCCCCTCGACATCCTCGTCGCCACCGAGGTGTGCGCTCGGCAGGCACAATTGACGGACCAGCCGCGCCGCGTTGACGCTGCGTTCCCCCGCCATATTCATCATGGGAATAAATGTTAGTACATCCTCGTCTCCCTCCAATGGCACTGTTTCTTCTGTTTTCGCTTCAACTTTCTCTTCGGATTTTGCTTCCGTCTCTGCCCTTGTTTCTGCCTCCTCCCCTGCTGGTTTCAATGAGGCTTCGACAGAGGCAGCCTCCTCCTCCTCCCCCCGTGGCTTCGCGGTATGTTCCAACGCACCCTCCTCCTTCTCAGCGGTGTCGTTGACGGTGGTTGACGTGGCCCCCTCCGGAGCGAGGAGGCGTTTTACTTTTTGGGGTGTCGGTAACTCGCCCCGTCTGGCCTCATTGCGCAGATGCCGCTGGAATGCACACATAATTAACGTGGCACGTTCTTCAATCTTCCCAAGAAACTGCAGATGGTTTGACTCCGTGCAACGAGCATTGGCGGCAAGCGCTTTGTTGCCATCCCCCAGGGTGCAACCCAAGGCACCAAAGATATCTTCGGTCACACAACGAATATTCGCAAGAACCTCCTTGTGCTGCTCTGTGGATAAATGGAGGCTCTCTAAAAGTTCCTCTGTCTGCGCAAGACGCTCCTCAAGCTCCTTGATAAGACGTTTCTGCTGTTCCTCATTTTCGTGCTCCGCCGCGATAACAGATCTTAGAGTGCAGATATCGCGCTCCATTTCCTCCCTGCTTGTGGTGAGTTCATTGACATACTTGTAAAGAGAGAAATTCATGTCTCCAAGTGACTCATATTCCTTCGCCAATGATAACAAGTCACCGTTTTGTGCGAACTCAGTGAGCTGCCTCAGAACTTCATTAAGATCGGGGTCGTCTTCTGCAGGAGATTCCCTTTCACCCTCCTCATCCAAGCCCTCTTGAGCGATATCGGCAGCGTCATCGAGTGGTTGAAATCGCTTATTGCCCGTGTCTCCAACAGCAGGGGGAGTAGTGTTTGCTGTGCTTTCGAAATCGTCCAACTCATATTGGCGGGCTTCAAGCTCAAGTTGCAGTCTTTGCTGCTCCTCCCGCAGCTCTCGGATCTCCACCATGGCCATATCCAACTCCCGCACCTTCCCATCATAGTCCTGCTTCTGCTCGTTAATAGCCTTCTTCAGCTGCTCCACCTGACGCAGATATCCGTCACGCTCGTCCAGGTCTTTGTTCGACTGCTCAATGCGTTCTGACATAAGTTTCTTCTTGGATCTAAGGTCATCCTCCATCCGCTTGTACACACGCTGAAAGACACGGCGTTCCTCTCGAATGATGCCAATGTGATCACGAAGCTCCTTGTTGTATGAAATAGCGTCATTGAATCTCGTTAATGCCTGATCCAAACGGTTTTCTAGGATCTCTACCTGACGCTGGAGCGCCTCGGCATTTTCCTTTTCTGCATTCACGCCACCTTTCAATCGACGGCTCTGCAGGAGATCGATTCGAGCCAGTTGGTATTGCCTCGTCAATTCGTTCTTCTTCATCTTTTCAAACTGGTATCGTCGTTCCAAAGAGTCCACTTCGCCTTTCAGCGCCGAGAACTTGTCGGCCTTGACGTAATCGTATGGTACTCCGCTCACAGCTGCTATCTCCTTTTTAAGCCTTTCATTATCCGCCACGAGCTGCTTAATGGCCTCCTCTTGACGGATCACCTCCGCCTGGGCAGCAATGATGCCAACGGCCACCTGTGAGCGGCGCCTATCAGCATCAGCAGCTGCGGTATTTGTGGCCATGTCTGCTATCTTGCTTTTACTCTCCTTGATTACCTGCTGCTGAGTGTTTTACTTTTCCCCCTGATGGAGATACAAAGATTGCTGGCTTACGTTTTCACGTATCCGCTATCTCTCTCTCTCTCTCTCTCTCTGTGTGTGTGTGTATGTAAGAACGTGCACGTCAAAGAATGGTACAAAAAGTACAGAAAAAAAAAAAACGGAAAAAATCAAATCAAAACAGATGTCCAAACAAATGCTGCAACCAAATTACAGCAGTAAAACAAAAAGACCAGGCAAGGTTGCATAAACAGGCACACAAGGATCCAGGTTTTTTGTGTTAGCGTTGTTTTTCTTCTTCTGTGGGTGTCTGTCTGTTTTCCTCCTGTTGCTGGCAGGAAAAGGGTCTGGCTTTGTGTTGATGGCCTGGCACCGGATGCCAGTGGGCAGTAAGAGCCAGGAAAAAAAAAAAAGGAATACGCAAAAGCGTATAGACACACACAGAAACACAAATCAGAAAAAGAAAAAAATTAAATCACCAAATAGATTCCCTCCACCAGAAGGGGAGGGAAAAAACACATCTTTTACAACCTGCTCGTTTCGCCGGTAGATTGCCTGGATCTGTCCTCCTCGACTTCGTTACGCTCGTAACAGAGGATAAACGCATCCTTCGTGGAAGGTCCCTCCAAAAAAGAGGTGCGCCAATCGTCGTATTGAACCCACCTTTTGCAACTATCGTTCAGCGCGGTGGCGGTGTAATGACCATGGTTGATGCCCCCCCTGTGGGTCACGACACCGCGCAGTGAGTACTTTGCGTTTTGCACCGGTGATTCCGGATCCATGTACGGTGCCATGTCCAGCTCCATCGGGAATGCCACACGCGTGTTGTTCTTCGACGCCTCCTCCATGTGCACTCTGAAGCGCTTGAGGGAAATGATAAGACAGGGCGGCATCAAAAATGGTCTTC